GTAGCCTGGTGGTTAGAACATTCTTCTGAAATATGAAAGGTGTAGCTTCAAGTCTGCTCAAGCAGGGGAGCATTTATTTCCCTTTCACTCTGTACTGATCACACTGACAACAGAACCTGTTAAATAAGTTGTTTAAATTTTTTAAATTTTTTAATGCAGTGCTTCTGTGTTTATTTATTTATTTATTCTGTGTTTGTTTATGTATTTATTAATTCTCTGCTCATTTATTTATTTATTTATTCTGTGTTTCTTTATTTATTTATTCATTCTGTGCTCATTTATTTATTTATTCTGTGTTTATTTATTTATTTATTGCTTCTGTTACAAATGCAAAAAAAAAATAATTTTACTCCCTAAGCATGTTTGTCCTGACCTTAAAAAATTAGTTTTATTCCATAAACTTGACCAAGATTTACAAGTGGTTTTGGACACCCTGAAATTGAATTTTTCCTTTGCACATGAGTCACAGATATCCCAAAGCCTCCAAGCACTGTTTTATTAGGGTCAGCACTGTACAGTATTTAATTATGTGTCATTTCTTTGCAAAGGGGAGATTGCCCTGGGGGAACTGCTACATCCAGAAGACAGTTCAGATGTCACAGCAGTGTGTGTTAATCTCTTCTGTCTTTTCACTGATCTACCCATTGAAAGTCAATTGCAGTGATGTATGGGGCACTCCATCCTAAGTGAATAGACCCAGGTCTTTCCAGAGGCAAGGTCTGGGCTCTCAGTTTGTCTCTCCCTTGCTGCAGCAGGCTCAACTTCTCAGAAAGTGTCAGGAGAACCTGTTTGCCAGGCTTCCCAGGGGTGTAAGGTCAAGGCCCTGGGATTTCAGTCTTTTCACAAAAGATGGGATTAACCTGCATTAATCCTGCACTCAAATTTCTGTTTAAGAGAAAAAAAAAAGAGGGAAGAAAGGTTTTGTTAGCTTTAAAGAAAGAAAATAAAAATCAGGGCTCTATGGCAATAGGTAAACTGCTCTGATCCTGGATTTTCATAAGTGTAGATATGTTCCTGGGCCAGGCTTGAAAATCCAGTTTGAAATTACAGAAATATTTCTAGGAACTGTGGTGTCAGAATGCCATAGTCACATGTTCTGCCATTCAACCTATAGAAAGTGTACTTAAGATTCAATTTAAGTTGTTTTGATTAAAGGAAATTTAGCAAAGCTTCAGGGTAAACAGGAGGGTTTGATCACAAAATGTTAGTTTGTGTTTAATAATAAGTCTATTTGCTAAGAAATTCTTTTAAGGATAGGAGAGATTTTACCAAATGCTAATACCATTTGGGCTCTGTTTATAGTATTTTCTTGTATATATAAGCATACATCAATATAAAATATTTTTAATTTCAGTGGGAAAAAAAAAGCATGATTAAAATTAAAATGCTCACAGAAATTAGCTTATAGGATATATGTGATCCTGGGACCCCTACAAATGTGAATAGTACCAGTGTGTTCAGTCCGGGGTAGATTTACATTATGTACTGATTATTTGTAGAACTGGTATTAATAAACGTGGCTTTTCCTCTGAATTTTATTGCTACCTTAACTAATAGAGGGAGAAAATGCTAAGTTTATTTTAAAAAGAATAAAAAATCTGAACAGTATAAATTACAAAAGCCAAAGCCAAGGGTCCTTAGTTCTAATGTAGTCTAAACCTGTCAGTTGTGGGTGAGTGCCTGAGGAACTGGTCCTTGTGGTCAGATTTTCTTTAAGTGTTTGACCTCCAAGTTTAATGACCTTCAGAAAACCCCATTTTTCTATTTTTTTGTTTAATATAGAATATTTAATGTCTTTAAATATTATAAACTGTATTCCAGTGGGCACTTAGAAGCCAGTCAATAAATAATCAAGTTACTATGCTCGTCAGAGGATAAGGAACCTTTATTATTCACAAAACTTTCAGTCGAATGGTGATTTCCATAACAATTCCTTGGAGACAGATTCACTGGTAAAACTTGATGACTCCTTTTTTTTTTTTTCCTAATAGATATTAAATATGTAGCCTCTTATTCTGTAAATCACAGAATGGGTAAGGTTGGAAGGGACCACAGTGGGTAATCTGGTTCAACCTCCCTACTCAAGCAGGGTCACATTGCACAGGATTGTGTCCAGATGGTTCTTGAATAGTCATCTCTTTGTGCTCAGTTAGCTTTTCCTTTCATAAGCAATTAAGGTCTCAAGAAATAATGGCAAGGATGAACCTGGGTTAGATGGCAAAGGAGGGGAAAAGTGACTGCCATAGTGAGTACTGAAGAGATAAGGAAAACAATGTGATACAATAGCTCAGTTCTGGTGTTAGGACATACACACACACACATATATATATATGTATATATATATAAACATGTACGCCCTAAGGCACAATACAGCAAATGTTTTGGAACGAATCTGGCCCCACCTGGAGTACTTATGCAGTGTTCCCAACATAAAAGGGATGTGGAACTGTTGGAGCAAGTCCAGAGGAGGACCATGAAGTTGATAAGAGGATTGGATCACCTCCCTGTGAAAACAGGCTGAGAAATTTGGGGCTGTTCAGCCTGGAGACAAGAAGGTTGCATGGAGAACTCATAGCAACCTTCGAGTATTTGAAAAAGACATACAGGGAATCCATAGAAGGACTCTTTGTTAGGAGCTGTAGTGATAGGACAAGGAGTAATGGGTACAAACTGAAAGAGGGAAAATTTAGGTTAGATGTTACAAAGATATTTTTTACTGTGAGGGTGGTAAGACACTGGAACATGTTGCCCAGGGAGGTAGTGGTTGCCCCAACCCTTGCAGTGATTAAGGCCTGGTTGGATAAGGCCTTGAGCAATCTGGTCTAGTTGGAGGTATCTCTGCCCTTGGTAGGGGAGGTTGGGACTAGATGATCTTTAAAGTCCACTCCAACCCCATAACATTCTGTAATCAGGTAGGCAAATGTTGTTCATGCTGCCATGTTTCAGTTTCAAGTCCATAGGCATAATGTAAAGACCTAGGTGTAGGCTGTTTAAAACAGTTTAAGATACTTCCAAATGCACTCAGGCTGTCTGTGGTTAAAATGAAAGAACCTTAAATATAAACATTTTACACCACTCTTCACATCTTCTAATATTCTTAACTAATTCAGAAGTCAATTGCATAGCATTTCAAGCCAATCTGACTGCTTTCTGCTATGATCCCGATCTCCCTCCTTCCTTGCTCTTGCTTCAGTGCTGATCTCATCCTTGGTGTGCACTGCAGGCAAAAAGCTACCTTTGTCTCAATTTTTTCCATGATAAGTGGTACATGTTGTGACTTCTGCTTGAAGCTGTGCTTGAGTCATATATGACTGAAACTGCCCGTCAAGCAGATGAGCACTGTCGTTAGCTTTTTATTGGTATAGGGCCCATTTATGTCACAATAGACCTCAGAGTTTGGTCATAAGTTTTGACAATGAATTGTAAAAATTCACTCTTTAGAGGAATAATTTTCTGTGAAAGGTATCAGAAATGCAAGAAATTTGTTCTCTGCCAAAAAGAAGTTATAAACAATTTTAACTGAATGAAAAATATGAAGCTTGAAGGGTTAGGATTTCAGGACCCAGAGCAACAGTTTATTAACCTAACCCCTGAAAAACAAGGTTTCAAGTAGAAATGCTGCTGATATTTTTATTTCTGATAGTTTTTCTTCTTAAACACACAAGCAAGCAAACAAAAAGACTGCTGACAACATTAAAAGATAAATAGTTACATTCTTTGGACCTTGATTTTTTAAAAATCTTTAACTCTGCTCTGGGGATACTGTACTTGACTGCTCTTGCAGGTTTCTCTAGCAAATCAAAGTTGCTTGGCAATGAAAATTCAACCTATGGGTCCTTATTTTAGCTCCTGAAAAATCCCAGTGCAACGTTTATATCAGTGTTTACCTATTGGACAGATAGATCTTGCTTCCAGAACTTTTCTAGTAAATATTGGCAAGTTCAGAAAATTACATCTGTCAAAACTGGCACACTTTTGCTTTGACAGTCAGATTTTGAGAGCAAATAGTAAACCATTAAAATAAAAAAAAAATCCATTTTTAAAAGAAGCATTACTTAACAATGCTAAAATAAAAAGGCTATCAGATAGTTGTAAGAACTGCATTTCCTCTCATTCTTGCACTAAAGTATTTTCCTCTGACATCCAGGACACTGAGTGTGAACAGCATGCCCTTTGTAATGTAATGAAATAGCGAGTGGTCTCTAATGATGTTTGGGAAAGTTCAGGTTGCTTCACTCCATCACAGCTGCATAGAATCAAATACAATTAAATTAGATAATTAAAACCATTAAAATCAATTGCCATATATGATAAACAGTTTCCTAACTCACTTGGAAAGAATAATTATATGGAAATTTTGATAATAATTTTTAAACTTGCTACATGTTTGTTAAATGTGATGATTCTGGCCAGGCTAAGTTATTCAGTTCCATGTTTTCTCTCCAATCCTATTACAAACAGGATTTTTATTTCATGGCTCTTGCATTCTATATTAAATTATTGCTCTGTTCATGGAATTTGGATTCTGCTTGAATTTACACATAGCTAGACACATTGTTTCATCTTTTCATTATCTTTGTCAAAAGGTGGAGAATTAAAATTTTAAAGAATATTTCATTTTAAGTATTGCTCAAAACCTCAAACTGAATTCTGATAAATGGAGAAAACAAACTCTTTGTGGTCATTTATGGGTAACATGATGAACAAAACAGAAAGGGATTATTTCCCTTAAAAGCATTCATGAAATAGTGAGATTTAAATGACCAAAGAGAGCATAATCTGAATAAAAGGAATACATATGACTTCAGGTAACAGAGAATTCCATTGGTACATGTGAGTTTGCAATTAGGAAAAGTTAAAATTCATTATTTTATTTAGGCAGTTGATGAAGTTGTTATCAGATGTGTAAATTACTGGATGAGGAGGGACAGACAGTGCCTTGCCTATGAATTTGTAATACAGTGAATGTTGTGGAGGAATTATTTTGATTGTCTACTATTTTAATTCATGAATAAGCACCTAACCTAGTATATAGCTGTGCATCTGCTATTAATACTAGTAATATAAACTTAGAATAAAACCTTCTAAAGTGGACATGGTGAAAGCGCCTTATTGCTTCCATAGGTACATCACTTCTAACAGTAGAAGCTTATGAACACAAATTTACAGGAGAAGACATAAAATACAGAATCTTCAATGACAAGGAAAGCATATTCTCCATACACCCCATTACAGGTACCTTTTTATATTTTTTCAAGTGTCTGTGTGTGTTTTAGAGCATGAGCAAGTTCCTATCACAAAAACAAGGGCTAAATATCTTAGAGTACTCCCTACTACATAGGTAATTCTCCCATTACAATGAATAGATCATTAGTAAATCCAGGCATGTGGAGAGACCTGCACTATTGTAAACTTGATGTGAAAAGAAATTGAACACCTATATACTTGTTTAAAACACTCAGTTCTGATTAACTACTGATCACCAGGTGTTGGGAGTTGATAAACTACTGCTTTGTGATCCAAGCTGAGATTCTGTCTTGTTTCTCATCATAAAGTTGCCCGAAAACTCAATAAACTAAGTCCTTCAAAACAGTTCTAATATAGGAAGCATTAGACCCTTGTTAAGTTTCATGCTGTTTGTTTCAGGCAAACCTTGACATGCATTGAAGTCAAGTTTTTTGAGTTTGGGATATTTTGTGGTTGTATTTTTGTTCTGCAGGTGTGCTTTCACCTGCTCTTCAGTCAGGAATTTCAGATCCAGGAGAGCAGCATGTTCCCCATGTGCATTTACATATTCTCATCTAAGGCATGTAAGAGAGCATAGCTACTCTGGTTGACTCTTGGCTCCTAAACATCTGCAACAAAAGAGTTGCAGTATAGTTGTATATAGTATAGCTGTAGTCTTTCTGGGATGGTATAGACAGCATAAGCAGCTTTCCTCAGAAATAGTGTAAATAGTTTGTACTCTTAACAAATGGCTTTCTCCCTGTGTTTCTGGAGGTTTTAATCTGTGATTATCCTGATGTCTCCAGGCATCAAGTGGCTTACCACTGTGAAGCTATCATGGTTGATGCTGATGGACAATTAAAAATATTCTGTTTGGTTTAGATGAGGGATGCTTAAAGTGCATACTCTTGATTTTCAAGTCCTTCTTATTTCACTGAAATAAAGCTAAAGAGATTAGTCTTAAAGAACATCTTAGACCCCGATGAGTTTATCCCCAAGAAAGCGAAACTTCTCTAATATCACCTGAAAAAAATCAAATGGGATATTCCTTTTTTTATCAAGCTAGGCTGAAAAATGGTTACACAATACTTTTAAGTCTCGTAAGCACTCTTCACAAACAGGAATGGAATTTCGATAGCAGCGAATCTGTCACAAGTCTTCTTTTGAGACATTTGAGCCATTGTGGTTTCTTCTGTTTCCTTTCTTCTATAGAAAACACTAACTGAAGTACAGCTCTTCAGGATTTTTTAAGAGCAGTTCTTACCTCTGCATTAATTTTGACACCAGTAGTTCTCTACCCATTGCTTTCTACAGCAGAAGTCTTTTGAACTGTATGGATGTCATTTCTGTCTTACGTATTCTGAATATCTGTTCTGCTCTACCTGGATTTTCAAGCACTGGTATTAATTAACCACACTTTGGAGAAGTCTTTCAACCATTAGGGAGGGATTTAGTGCACTGTGGAGTCATAGAAAGTACAGTAGGAAGTGCCTCAAAGGCATGAACTAGTTTGTCCTCTGACATAGTAGGAGAATCAGTTGTGCCAAAATCTGACAGAAGTTTGTCCTGTTCTTAAAGAGCATCAGGGATAGTGATTCTGCAAACCCCCTCAACAGTGTGCACAAGTCTTGGCAGTTGGAAAGTTTTTATTCATATTTATATGAATGTTTGTTGAAATGTTTTATACTTAGTATTTCTTAACCTAGTTACTATAGACATATTTGAAGACTCGTACCCTGGTTTTGATTCTTGTGCACTGCTCTAGAATGATCAACTCTGGTTCTTTCACATATTCCTCCTCAAACTTGGTTATTTGTTCCACTCTACACTAGAGTCTTTCAGTTTGCTCTCTGTCATCTTGAAGTATATTACTTCTGCTACTGCCTATTTTGCTTTCTCTGTAATACAGAATGTCATAATTTTTAAGTGTTGTGATGAAAAGAGGCCATCTGCCATCGTTGAAATCTTTATGTTCAAGACACAGATCCATAAGCAACAGTTAACCTTGCTGCTTATGTTAAAAAATAAAAACTAAAAAGCACTAGCTTGGAGAGCCACAGTAGATGGATTCTTATATGTTCTTATTCTGCAGATATTCAAGGCATCATTACTGAAAAGTCCATGCAAACCTTAATTTGAATTCTAATGACATTAATACACAAATTAACTATGTTTGATGCTTAGATGTAATAAGGAATTATATTACCTAGAACATTGAAACAATAACACAGGTATTCCAGGACATTTCATGTTTAATGTGGAGATGTCTAGTTGTGCTTGTAGTCTGAATAATTTTCATTGATTATCTTTGATAGAATAACATTTGGAGGGAAGGCACTCGCTGCATTAGAAGTCAGTGTTTTACGACAGTCAGATACAGAAAGTGATACAGATGTTGCCCAATTTGGATGTAGATGAAGGGCTCGATGTAGCCAGTCTCAGGTGAGGGTAGAGAGTCTCTTCTGACACAGCCACGTGCCAAGGACCACACGTCACACACAGACTTTCTTTCTCTCTATCCCTCTACTAGTAAATCGGCTTTCTATTAGGAAACTGCCAAGATGGAGATGGTCGGTGAAAATTTAGCTGTCCAAGATTTATAGAGTAACTAGTACAAGGAGGGTGATGTTAGGTAGAGGAAGGACACGGTGCAGAGCTTGCTGGAATTCTGCCATGTGTTCAGTGGAGGAGACAATACATATTAGGAATTTCAGAACTGCATATATACATGTTTTTTCCTGAATATATGTGCCACGTCTGAAACTTTTTTTCATTTTTTTTAATAAACCAGGTGTAATCACAGTAAAAGAACCAAAGTTTCTTGATTACGAAGTTAAGTGCAAAATCCATCTTACAGTTTTGGCTGAAAACAGCTTGTATTCAGCTCTCTGTGGAGTGACAGTTTTGATTCAAGATGTGAATGACAATGTACCTAAATTTGAGCAAAACTATTACAAAGCATCAGTATGGGAAGGCCAAAGTCCTAAAACAGACATCCTACAGGTAAGTGGAAATATATCTTCCCAAGCCCAGTGTTATAGTTAAAAAGAAGTCTGTTCATGACTACACTCCTGCTAGGTCTATTCTGGACCACTACCTCTGAAAAAACTGAGAGTGGGGTTCTTGGTGTTGCTAATACTTTGCTTGGATTGCTAAAATATGAATTTAACTTTTTCTAGATAGCATTTAAGATCTTTTGTTCAAGTTTGTTAAGTTGAAAGAGAATTCTTTATCTTCTTAATAGTTGTGCAGCTGGACTTCAAATTATTTTGTAAAAAAAATTCTGTTTCTTCAAGCAGTTGAAAAATACCATTCAAAGCTTTGGTTCTGGTTATGGTATAGGCTGGGTCTTGCATTAATGAATCTACTGAAAGGGCTATAGCAATAAAATGAGTACTTTCTGCTCATCAGACTAGTAGAGTCAAACCCAAGTGTTCAGTTTAAAATCTGATGCCTGAAGAACAGCTTGTCTTAATTTAAATGTGCAAACACTTCTTCCTCTGAATGGATCCATTCTCCCAAAGTGTTTCCAGCTGGCCATGTTAGAGCAAAAGAAGACATCAGTTGGACTAGAAGTATATATAATTTCCACAGAACATGTTCTTGCATTGCAAGTCAGGTCATAGTGAGTGTCATGTTAGGTACTAAAGATATTCCCTCTCTAGAGAATAAATAAATGGAAAGCTACAAAAGCCTTTAGGGCAAAGTGATTAGAAACTGATGGACACTGTATTTAAAGAAACATGTCCAGGAATGGAGAAAAATCAAAAGGCAGTCAAGCCAGATGTGTAGTCAAAATTTTATGACAGAATAAATTCTATTATATTTCCTTTATTCAATCTGACTGGTTGCCCCTGCAATGGTTTGGATCCCATACTCATTGTAGTGCTTGTTCAGCAACCAATACAAAGACAAAAATGCAAAGATGACTCTTCAAAGAGTCAGATGAATCTTTGAGAAACCTGCTCACTGATAATGAATGTTATTTATTCTCTTGGTTTTATAGATTGCCTCTGCCCTTTTTACATTTTTTGGATTGTATTTTTAAAAGGTAATTAATGAACATTGCATTCTCTGAAAGCTAAATAGTCTAATTATTTTATCCTTTGTTGTTTTGTATAGCAGCAATACTTTGAGGGCCAGTCCTGTACCACTGAGATTTTAATGTACTTTTTAATGCATTTTTATGTATTAAACAGGGACAGCATTCTAACAGCAATCTAATAGTAAAATAATTGCATTCAGCCCAAGCATTTTATGTAGTTGAATTTCAAATTACTCATTTATGTGCAGCCCATTGCAGTTCATGAGCAGACTTTGTGACCTCACATGACACTCATACTGGGTACAAAGATGAGGATTTATTTAATTCTGTGCAGTTGAATGTAAAGTAACTAGAAATAAATGACTGTAGTATAAGTTTTTTCTTTCTGAAATCACATTCTGCCATTTTTAATTAAGCCTCAATTTTGCTCCCAAACAGGTATTTGCAACTGACCTTGACAGTGGGCTGAATGGAGAAACTGAATACTCAATTTTGTCTGGTAATGAAAATGCAACATTTCTAATTGATTCAGCACGAGGAATTCTAGCAACTAATACAGGCCTAGATCATGAAAACATTGCATCTTACAGGTTTGTATGCAAGGTTCCCGTTTACTCTAATTTGGGAATGTTCATATGTCCCGGTCCAATAAGACTTGGGGGTGTTCAATTGATTCCCCCAGCATGAATTAAGACACAAATGAGGTCAAAATACTATTAGGGAGTGAGACTTTATCATTGGTCACACAACAGGGAGAGAAGGGACAATAGGAAAGTTAGAAACAGGGAAGGGGGATAGTTAGAAGTAAACAAGATTTGGTATGCCAAGGCAGAGGGAGTCACCACCATGGATCCAGATGATCCAAAGTCGTGTAGAAGAGGGATAGTCACCACCATAGGTCCAGCAGCTTTCTGATGATCCATAGTCATTTATCTTCAGTGACGCGTGTGCACCGTCACTCTGGACGCTGGTCCTTTTGTATAGGGCTCTGCCAGGGCACTCATTGGCATTGATCAGCTCTCCTTGAGTTGTGGGGTGAGCTCTTAGCAATTCCCAGAGAATGCCTCGTGAGTGTCCCTATATTCAGCTCTGGCCAGAGATTTGCGGTGCACAATAGTGCCTCGTTATCTCGGCGCTGGAGGGGATATTGGTCGTTATCTGTTAGCTGTAGGATTTGGGTGGTGGACAATGGTGCCTCATTGTCTCTGCAGCTAGAGGATTTCCATGGCCAGAGGCATCCTGTGGCTCAGCAAGCTTTGAGGCAATCAGCCAAGCCTTTGCCCCACAACAAGCCATCGAAGCCTGGCAATGTCGAAACAAACATTTCTTAAAGGTCCCTTACATCATGCTACATATTTCCTAGTCTGCTGTTGATGTCCTTTACCCGCAGAGCCTGAGCAGCAGCCAGACAGCATGGACAGCAGCACTAGAGCTGCACATTTGTACTATGGATTCTTGTGTGCTTAACAAATGTAGAGAAAGTAATACAGTCTTGTTTAACCAATGGCAACACTTTAGTGATATGAGTGTGATGATTCACTATAGGAGCAATGACAGTTCCTGGATTTTAGTTTATTAAGAACTGTACAGCCATTCCTTCTCTGGAAACATCCTTTATAAACATGTAAAGACACAGAGAAAAGACTTAAACTTTTCTGGCTTTTAATTAGAATATAGTTCAAATTTTCTTCTCTATAATCTGAGAAAGATGCTTTTGTAAATGCTTTCCATCCATAAGTTCTCAGGCACTAAGTATTCATTTTTTTCTGTTTTTCAAGAAAGTGTGGGTGATTGTGGTCAAGTGGAGAGGACAATTTTTCTTTACAGGTCATGCCATAATTGAAATTATGAAGCAAAAAAATCATGCCTTGAAGAGAAAATATGAGTATGCAGATACATTAAATAGACCCTTTTTAATGACTTCAATCTCCAAAAAATGTAGGTAACTGTGTTAGTAGAAATTGCAGGTTTATTGCTATATGGTTGTGGCATCAGTTAAAATATCTGCAAGTTTTCCTGTCCTCCAGGACCTCAAAATTTTGAACATCCAATAAGAATTCTTATGAATCAGAATAACTTGAAGAAAGCCGCATCAAAAGATTGGCAGAATATGTGGGATTTCATGGTATCAGTGTAATTTGATAATAATGCCCTAAAGAAAACACTTCGGTTTGACTTAATATACAGAACACTTAATTTTTTAGTTTATTTTTTCAGTTTTGCACTGAATCAAAAACATCAGTTCTCATTTTTAGCCATTTAAATAACATAATACATTTTGTTTGTAACTAGTACTTTAAAAGAATAACTGGAATAAATCCTTCAAAAAGAAGAATGTTTACTGTTTGTGAAACATTGAATAATTCTCATATCTGTCTTTAACTGGGAGCTGGATTTATTTTGGTATTTATGTTGAAATCCTAGCCTTTTAAATGGGTAGTTTGTTCAAGGAATCTGAAGCTTCATATTCCTTCTCTTTATAATAAGTTATTAATCTGCACATTGTTAGGTGAAAAGTGAACAGCAAAAGAAGCTTTCAAAACTGTTTTCCTCTTTGATTTCAAAATGTTACCATTGGTTCTATCAAATTTGCAAGGAGTTGTTTATTTTATCTAAATTGAACATTTTCATTCCCAGAAGTTCTAAGTCCCTTATAATAAGACTTATAATGCAAGTGTTGATTGAACATTAATTTTAATGCCTTGCCTAAGATGTTTTTATGAGAGTTTTTTCCTGAAACCTTAGAAAGTGATTATTTTTAGTAAAATATTTCCATATGTATGCCTTACCAATATTCATTCTATAAAAAACACGCTTTCTATATGGAATTATGCATGATCACTGATTGAACACTGGCCTGCAATTCAAGTTCTGTCTTCTGCTGGCATCAGAAACCACATGGACACCCAGAGCAGAGCTGGTGTGGTTCAGGAATGGAAGTGCTGCAATCCACAGCTCAAATTACAGCCTTGGTATTCCATATTGTCACGTGAACATTTAGGAAGTAACATCTGTTTGACACTTCAAACAGAAACTGTGACTTAAAAAAAGAGAGAGAAATAAAACATTCAGAAGAACTTCAAGGAGACCCAGAAAATATGGTGCAACATTTAATTGAGATGCCCAACTTTGACTTGTATATCCTTTTGCATAGCTTGATGTTTCTTTTCTTTTGTTTTTTTTTTTTTTAGAACACCTGATGAATTAGATTTGATTTTTAATTCCCTTCTGGATAAATTTAATATTGGGGAGTGGTGAAGTCTTCCAAATAATCTTTGTTTACAAAAAGCATTTACTTTTTATTGTTCAGAAGCTAGTTCCCACAGAGAATAAACACCCTTTTATCCATGTTTATCAGGTTGTTACTTACCATTTCCTTTGCTGCTATGGAAATCAAAGGGTTGTTTACAGAATTTACTACCCATCCTTATGCAAGTGTAAAATGGAAGCATATATGCACTTTCTTAATCTCACTGAGAGATTCTGGCCTTGCTAAGATCAGTGGGAGCTTTCACTGTCAAATAGTGCATGTACTGGGGTTTTTCACTTAATCATTTGCATTTATAATGTAATGGGGAGCAATTCTGTGTCTCTGCAGGCATTTTGGCTGAATATTACTTTGGATGTTTTCATATTACTCCATTTTCACATCCCTGCTGTCCCTTTATAAACAACAAAGAGAGTCAGGTTCTTCCAAAGGATAGTTCAGTATTTAAGTTTTAATTCCTCCTCTGAATTACCAACTGGAGAACTGTGTTTTATTTGAAAGAGTTGTTTAACCACCTACATTTGGTATGAAATTGGGTGAAATGAATACAGATGAATACTTCCTTTTCTTTTTATGATTTTGAAATATTTTTGCCATGTAGAATCTCATGGACATTCTTCTTGCAAGACCTAAAAATAAAACTCTGGATATTCAACCTTACAGAAATACAGAATTTAAGAGTTGCAGTAGAGAAACAGAAGTGGCTAATCTTTTTGTTTTTAAAATTTCCCCTGCTTATAACAGGGGTGGATAATGTAGTGATTTCTGACCAACAGTGACAATTGCTGCTTCTTTTAATTGTAGGTTGGTTGTACAAGCTGCCGATAAAGGCAGCCCCAGACTCTCTGCTACAAGTATTGTGAGGGTACAAGTGTTGGATGTTAATGACAACGCTCCAGTTGTCCAACCACTAGATGAAGTGGAGGTCCCAGAAAGTAAGTGTGATAGTACAGCTAAGTTTTGTTAAGACTTGGAATTGTCAGATAATGCTAGTGCTTTCAGTGATTTGTGTAAATGAACAACTGTAGTAAAAGGGATAATAGATGTATTAATGCTGAAATATCAAAGCAAATTGTGATCTGCTTTTGTTCTCAGAGGCATTATTCGTAATCTTTAGACATTGTGTTTAAGAATAGTTTGGAAAAAAAACCATAGGCAATTCAGAATGAGGAAAAAAAATCTGTTGAAATACATCTGTAATCTGTTCATTTTGCACTCCAGTGTTGTGTCCTTCGGATGCCTTCAATTTCTGCTTCTATCCAATAAAAATGCTTGGTGTTAAAACAAGCATTGCTAGAAATGAGACATTTTGCACTTCACTGTGATGAAAGAAATAATTTCTGTAAATTCGAATGAAGTGTTAAAACACTCTATAGCTTGATCCAGTTGATGATTATGACTAGAAGGACCCAGGACCTCCTGAGTTCTCATCCCAGCATACATCTGGTATGTTGTGTAACATTAGCTGAACATTTCCAGATCTTGAGTCTTAAAGGAGCCTGTAATTTTCAAATACAGGCATCACACATGTGATTGCATTAAGATACACAGCAGAAAATTTATAAAGATTTAGGTGCTGAAATCCCAGTACTCCCATTGACAAAAGATATCAAGGCTGTCTTTCTACTGATACATTTTAGCCTTTCCTGAATTTAGCTCCCATTTGTAATGACAAGTACAGGAGTCATGGATGCACAGCAGCAGTAAGCTACTGGTTACCTAGCTTTTTGTATTGTATTTAAGAACACTTGCTTTAGGACATGGCACAGTATTTTTGAGGCTTAATGCCCCAGGCAGGCAAATGGGAAATGGTTTAGCTTCAGTTATTTCCAGGCTTTGTTAAATGATCACTAATAGGTTCAGTTTGCAATCACTGGTTCTGTCAATTTGGTTCAAGACAGAAGCTGTCTGTATCCAGTTTCTCAGTCTCAAAGGATTATACCTTGAGCTCTTAATATTTTTGTGCCATGTAGGTCTTGTTTCTCTGTAGTGGCCTTCTCCTCCTTTGGAAAAGCTTCAGTATTGCATTTGCTGGTTCTGCAGAGTACAGGGATCTCCAGTGCCTCAGTTAAATATTCTTGTGGAAATTTATGACACTGTTTAATAAATTCATGACACCTAAATGCTTGTGGAAAACCATGGAAGTTGCTGTTGCTGTTGAAGAAGCAGTTATGACTCCACTGGATCTGGGAAAGTCTAAAAAAAAACCAAGTGAAAATTGGGATACAGCACATATATTTGAAAAATTTACTACTGTTTCCATAGCATTTCTGGATATTGCTCTTATTGTAAAACATTTTTAAAAAGTTAAAATACATCAAAAGCTGTACAGAAAGTTTACATATATCCAATATTTTAATATTACAATATTGGCAAAAATCTTTAGAAATTGTAAAATCATCTTTTAGCTATGACTTATTCTGAAAATTGCTGTTTCAGATGCCCAGCCTGGTTTTATTGTTACTCGTGTGTCAGCAAGTGATGCAGACTCCAGGCCAGCACTTCAGTTTGCTTTTATTTATGATAATAGTGCTGGAATGAAATTTGCCATTGATCAACACACTGGCGTAGTCACAGTGGTGGAACCATTAGATTTTGAAGAAATTGCTGTATACAAGCTGAAAATCATAGTTTCAGATTCTGTGCATCAAACAGAAGCAGAACTCACCATCCTTGTTTTGGACATCAATGATAACCCACCAGTATTTACTCAGGATTTGTATCAGGTGAGAATATGAGAAATAAATAAGAAATGTGATGCTTTTCATATATGATGAAAAACAGTAGGAGTGTTTGTTTATATTTGTCTTTAAAATGCATTTGAGCACTGAGAAGAAAGGTCTCTGCAAACTATTACTGAGCAGAAACAGAGCAGAGCTCTTCTGGGAACCCCAGCCCCTTCCTAAGAATTCTGCTAAAAGGACTGAGGGAATTGTTCCGTTTTCATGTTTGTGGTTTCTGACTTTAGAAGGCAAGTGGTGGGAATGCTAGCTGTATTCCATACACCATGCATTCATCACTAGGGCTTACTGGATATACTTCAAACCAGTTTGGTGAGCAGGGTCCAGTGTTCAGAACACCCTTCTTCTGAGACACTGGTAAAAATGTTGGTACATTTATTCTGGCCCTGATACTATGGCATGAATTTCTTCATTTTCAGTTACACAGGTCCACAGAGGTGTAGCAAATGCCCCTGTGGCAGGTTATGCACATACAGTTTGTAATGTGTAACCCTGCCTTACCACGATGGCACCCGTCTAAGGAGTGAGGCATAAGAGCTTTGACCTCCCCAGCATCCGCTGCTAGACTGAGCAGGGTACAGAGCTCAGGTTTTGGACTTTTGAACTGCAGTACTGTTGTAGAAGTCAGGGTGTCCAACAGTGAAACAAAGCTGGTTTAGTTAGTGACTATGGACAGCTCTGGGCCACTAAGATGATTAAAGGAATTGGAGCCTATATAAAATAGAATCATTGAATGATAGAATATTTTGGGATGGAAATGTCCTTTAAAGATCATCTAATCCAACTGCCTGGCTGTCCAGGTGCTGACCAAAAGCTAAAGCATGTTAAGGGAATTGTCCAAATGCCTCTCAAACACTGGCAGGCTTGGGGCATTGACCTCCTCTTGAGAAAGACTGTTCTGTGTTTGGCTGCCCTCTCAGTAAATAAATGCTTCTGAACATCCACTCTGATCCTCACCTGGCACAGCTTTGAACCATTCCTATGTGTCCTGACACCGAGTACCACAGAGAAGAACTCAGCACCTCCCTCTCCACTTCCCTTCCTCAGGAAGGTGTGGAGAGCAATGGGGTCACCCCTCAGCCTCCTATTCTCCAAACAAGACAAGCCCAAAGTCCTTAGCCACTCCTTGTAGAACATACCTTCCAGCCCTGTCACCAGCTTTGTTGCCCTCCTCTAAGCACATTTAGGGGCCTTCACACTCTTCTTAAATTGTGGGGTCCAGAACTGCACACAGCACTCAGGGTGAGGCCACACCAAGGCTGAACGCAGTGAGACCTGTATCAGGGTTTTGCCCTGAACTTCATCAGCCCTAAGGCTGTGATGCTTGGTCCAAGGCTCAGCACAAGTAGCAGCTTGGAGTTTGAGCTCAGGATGGCAGAGAGATAAAGCCTGGAGCCTCAGGTTAAGGTTGGCTGCAATAAAGCTGCCAAAGGAAAGATAGACTGCCAGAGGAGTTGTTTCCTTAGGACTTGTTGGTGTGGGGCTAGGCTGCACGGCTTTGGCTTTGGCCCAAGAGAGCCTAGACCATGGATATTTCAGCCTGGAAAAGGGAAGGTTCTGGGAGGGTCTTACCAATATGTGTAATTTACTAGTAGGAGGCAGTAAAGGTGGGCAAGCCAGGCAAATTCTACAGGAAATGTAGGAAATTCTGGTTTTTCCCACTTTTCTGACTCTTAGAGTGACTAAGTATTCACATAGGTTGCTCAAAAGGGTTATGGAGTCTCTGTCCCAGCATCGTGGGCACCCTGCTGTAGGTGGCCCTGCTCTGAGCAAGGGTTGCACAAGATGATCTCCAGAGGTGCCCACCAGCCTCAGACTTTCTGTGATCCTATGAACTGAGCTGTTTGACTTGGTGCTTTTTGTGTGTGGTGGGTTTCCTTAGAGCCAAAATATGAGGTACCACAGAAGACTTGGATTTAATAATGCTTCATTTATAAATCTCAGACAGATTTAGTCAAGAAATAAGCCTAAACATTTGGCTTAGTAAAGAATTTTCAACCTCTGAGCATATGCAGGCACAGCAGTTTAGTCACTTAGATACCTATGGGACAGACTGTAGGCACCTGTGAAACTTTCAAGTGCCAGAGTTGTCAGGATTTGTGTAAATTGCCCACTTAAACTCATAAATCTACATTCTGGAAAAAATGCACTATTAATGCTCAAGTGATTTTTAGACCTTAGTTTTCCTCAACCCTCATATGTGTCTGATTTTGGAGAATAGTTTAGGAAAGTACTTGCCTGTGCAAGTGCTAGGAATTTTTTTGTAGACCAGAGCAGACATTACAGGCAGCATTATTAACTGATGCCAAACAGCATAGCTCTATTGAATATGCTAATGTAAACAGCTGAGCTTCTCTTTCCGCAGTCCTGATGTTTTGATGTGTTGCTTGGAGAGTAAGATACACTGCTTCTTTTTGGTTGATGATATGTATAATTCCCTATTCATCATCCTGTATTTTTACCCTTTTATTGTCCTTTCAAGTGTTTTCATATTTATACTCCTCATATATAGTTTAATATATATATGTGGGTACTATATACATATAATTTCTCTTGTTTAAGTTATTTAAACTAACACTTCCAGTTATGACAGAGGTAGCTGCTATATCATACTATTCATTTGAAATTAGATTTATAAGGTGGAAGGAAACTTTGGTCACAAAAGTGCTGTGTCTGGACTTCAAGTAATTAAACTGCTTAAGAAGGGAATGGACCTTTTTGGTTTCCTAGAAGAAAAAGGGGAGCATTTTGAATAATTAAATTCTAGGAATAATCCAGTGGTGATTAAGTGCTCTAATGCTGGAATTTGCAGGGTGCAGACTGTATTCTATGTATGGAAATGAAGGTGGTTTTGAAAGCAAGGAGAAAAGCCTTTAGTTGCAGTCCATTACTGTACTATTGTAAAAAGTGATTCATTTATTGTCTGAACAAAATGTCATAATGAACTAAATGGACTTTACTACCATTTAAAGCTTACTGTGAATTTTGGCTGTATTGTAGGTGTAGTTTTCAATTTCTCAGCTCTGTAGTTTTGTCCCAGGAGAAAACGGGTAAGTAAAACTTTTTCCCAAAGCTGGGAACTGTATGTGTTTTTTCTAATAAGATCAAATAAAGGCAATTGTATTTTTTAAGTTGAAAGTCTTTTTTTAAGCTCTATCAAAACTGTAATTTTGCTTTATATGTCAGGTAAGCTTGCCAGAGCTTGTTTCTATGGATGCCACTGCTCTGACCCTCTCTGCCATGGATAGGGATACTGAGCATAATGGAATGATTTCCTACAAAATCCTCTCTCCCTCTGAGGGCTTTTCCATTGGTCACAAGAATGGTGAGTCTGTAAACACAGTTTATTATTTTTTCAGTGTAAATTGAAGAGTCCTGTTGCTTCCTCACCTGTTGCCAGTGATTACTTGAGTTCTGGAAATTTTTGGTGACCAAAGTCCATCATATGTTTTGGCTAAATATGGCATTTTCAGTGGAGAACCAACTGCATCAAAGACTGAGTTCTCAGTTTGTCCCTGAACCATGTATGTTTTAGCTGGTATAAATGCAAATACTGCATCATTGTGGGTAGGCCTTGGCTTCACAGCATTAGCTATGATTTCTTAAAAAAATAGAATAGTTTAGAAGTGAATTTTAAAAGTCATCTAGTTCAGCCCCCCTGCAATGAGCAGGGACATCTTCAACTAGATCAGGTTCTTCAGATCCCTCTCCAACCTGACCTTGAATGTTTCCAGGGTTGGGGCATCCACCACCTCTCTGGGCAATGTGTTCCAGTGTTTCACCACCCTATCAGAATTTTTTTTCTTGCATCTACTCTGAATTTGCCCTTTTTTAGTTTAAAACCATTACCACTTGTCCCATCACAAGAAGCCTTTCTAAAAAGTCTGTCCCCATCCATCTTATAAGCCCCCTTTACAGCCGCAGTGAGGTCTCCCTGGAGCCTTCTCTGGACTGAAGAACACCAACTCTCAGCCTTTTCTCATAGGAATGGGGCTCCAATGCTCTGATCATTTTTGCATCCCTCCTCTGGGCCTGCTCCAACAGGTTCATGTCTTTCCTGTGCTGAGAACTCCAGAGCTGAACGCAGTACTCCATGTGGGGTCTAACAAGAGCGGAGGAGAGGGAGAGAATCACCTCTCTCAATCTGCTGGCCTTGCTGCTTTTTATATAGCCCAGGATGTGGTTGGCTTTCTGGACTGCGAGCATACATTTCCAGTTCATGTCCAGTTTCTCATCCATTGGTACCCCCAAGTCCTTCTCCACAGGGCTGTTCTCGATCCCTTCATCCCCCAGCCTGTATTGGTATCAAAGTTTGCCCTGACTCATGTGCAGAACCTGGCACTAAGCCTTGCTGAACTTCATGAGATTACCATGGACACATTTCTTCAGTTGCTGAACTTCATGAGATTACCATGGATACACTTCTTCATCTTGTCTAGATCCCCCTGGATGGTCTCCCATCTCTCAGGCATGTCAACTGCATCACTCAGTTTGGTGTTATCTGCAAGCTTGCTGAGGGTGCACTCAATCCTATTATCTGTGTCATTCATGAAGATATTAAACAGTACTGGGTCCCAATACAGACCCCTAAGGAACACCATTTGTCACTGATGTTCATCCAGACATTGAGCTCTTGACGAGTCTCTGGATGCAAGAGAGTTACTTTGTTGTGTGCAGCCATTACAGTTGAGTCATTTTCAAATATGGCTGATCGGATGCAAGAGAGTTACTTTGTTGTGTGAGGCCATTACAGTTGAGTAATTTTCAAATATGGCTGATTAGATTCAGCTTTTGGAATCACATTTACTTGCTTCAGTGAGTGTGGAGTGTGGGCTTTTGTTAATTCTGTTTTATTTTCAGGTTCTGTGTTTGCTATTGGACCAGTGACACTCATGGAAAATAATTCCATTATTCATCTCCTGATAGAAGCCACAGATGGTGGCAGTCCTGCTCTGAGTGCTGTTGCTTCCATAGAGGTGCACATAGAAGATGTAAATAACTATGCTCCTCAGTTCACAAAGGTACTGTACAACATCAGCGTGAGCGAGGATACCTCCGTTGGAGAAAGTGTCCTCACGTTTTCAGCCACTGATGATGATTGGACATATGAAAACACTTATGTTGAATACTCTATTATCGATGGCAATGTTGAGAATCTATTCTCTGTGAAAACAAGTGTCATGGGATCAGAAACATCCTACAAACTTGTTGGCAGTCTTGTTTTGAGCAATGTTCTTGACAGGGAAACAGCTTCTTCTCACCATTTGGTCCTCCTTGCCTCTGATCATGGAACACCCTCCTTGAATTCAACTGCCACTGTGCTAATAACTGTGCTGGATGTTAATGACAATGCTCCAGTATTTAGCAGCCCAGAGTACCATATTCATGTCAAAGAAAGCATCCCTGTAGGTAGTCATGTCACTGAAGTGTCAGCAAATGACTGTGATGCAGGCACTAATGCAGAGATTACTTATGCTATCATCTCTGGAAATGACAGGGGACATTTTCGCTTGGATGGGAAAACAGGATCAGTGGATTTGATGAAAGCACTGGATTATGAGGATACTGTGAAATTCACTTTGATCATCCAAGCTACAGATGAAGGAGCTGATGTAAAAAATGTGGCTTTTGCTATGGTTCTTATTAGCGTCCTAGATGACAACGATTATGCCCCACTGTTTTTGTTTCCCAGTCTGAGCTGCACTGTCAGTGAAAATCTGCCTGCCTTTTCTTTTGTGTGTGCCGTTTATGCACTGGATTTTGATAAAGGCTCCTATGGGCACCTTACCTACTCCATTCAGTCTTCATGTTTGGCTCATCGTGAAGCTCCTAGAGACCATGACGTGTTCTTCATTGATCCTTTGACAGGAGATATTCATACAAAGCAAATGTTTGACTATGAAAGTCAGAATAGATACTGTCTCATAATCCAAGCAAAAGACAAAGGTGACTCACTGGCTACCATTACAGTTCAGGTAGATATTGATGGGAGAGATGAATTTGACCCAGTGTTTACACAAGAACATTATTTCTTTAATCTCCCTGAGAAGAACAAAGCAGGCCAGTTGCTTGGCAGAGTGACAGCATCAGACAGTGATGGTGGAATGGATGGAGTCATTCAATACTCCCTTCTAAAACCTTCTCCATACTTTTCTGTGAATCAAACCAGTGGTAATATTTATTTGACTCAGACTGTTCACAGAAAGAAAAATGGCATAAAAAAGAATGATGATACCCTGGAATTGTTGGTAAGAGCTCATAGCCCCAAAATTGAGTCAAAGTTCACAGTATGCACTGTTTTTGTAAATGTTTCCAGTTCTCCTGAGAGTGATCTCATAGCATCAGCACACAGCCTGACCATTAGTGTTTCCATCTCATCAATGGTGTTCCTGCTGCTTGCAGTCAGCCTTACTGCACTTATTCTGAGATATAAGCAGAAAGGTCTGATAAATGCTTGTGTGAAAAAAGCAGCAGTATCCTCCTCAGCTACTGATGTGAATTCAGTAAGAGAAGATAAGGACTGCCAGAAAATCCAAAGTACTGAGAGCAGTATGCTACCCATGGGTGCTATAGCAGACTGGCTGAGCCTAGCAGGAATTGAAGAGGGGAAAATTGATGGTGTCCCCTGCAGGCATTCAGACTCTAGTGGCCATGGCTCTGCTGAAGGAGAAACTGCAGAGGATGAAGAAATCAAAAGGATCAATGAGTATCCTTGCAGAAAAAGTGCCGGCTCAGCACTGAGTGGGCACGGCTCAAGGATGCCAGATTCAGGGATCCCAAGAGAGTCTGATCAGTTCTCCTGTCAGTCTGGAGAAACAGATGTTGTGGCTATCATGCAAAGCATGGAGAGCATGGAGGCCATTCAAGGAGAAATCAGAGAAGAAGCCTGTGACACAGCCTATGCACATAAAATGTTGTCTCAAACACTTAAGAAAATTGGAATAAAAGAGAAAGACATAATGACAGACCTCACAAAAGAGTATGTCCTAATGTCAGATAGGCAAGACTTCGGGTATGATTCACTTGCAACTGTTTGCACCTCTGATGATGATCTTGGAGGTGGTTATAACCGGGATTATGTGCTCAGCTGGGAACCCAGATTTAAACCTCTTGCCTCAGTGTTTAATGACATCGCAGAACTGAAAGATGAAAATGTGCACATTCACAACTTCCCTAAAGAGAAGAAATCTTTCGTCTTTCCTCCTCCCCTGATAACATCAGTAGCACAGCCTGGAATAAGGACAGTGCCACCAAGAATGCCAAATGTAATATCAGAGCAATCATTTAATAAATACCTTCATTCTCCCCTTATCCATAATCTTGGATACTCTCCACCAACCATGACTCCAAGTTTTTCTCCTCCTCTCTCTTTACTTACTATGCAGATGCCTATTGCTTCTCCAGTAGCATCTGATGGGAAAATGATAGGAACATATCTTACTGATCCAAGCTCTGAACTTTTAACAGAGGAAGAAATGCAGGTCTAGGTTATTAACTGACAGTATTTTATGATAAAAAATATGGTTTTAAATGTATTTTGTTATTTTTAACCAGTAAAATATGCCTATCAGAGCTATATCACCAGTATTCTTTCTGATTTCCGAAGCTGAAAAAGTTAAAATATAAAATTGCCACAAACTTGATAACTATACATCTTGTTCTTCTGAGAATACACTGTAAGACCATGAGGCTTCTCCTCTTTCAGCTCACAACAATTGTGGTTTTCTATGTATAACACACGGCCAGGTGCCTGATAACCAACTTGACCAATTTTACTGTTTTTAGTGTAAAATATGTCAATAATAAATAAATTGGAGTAATTTTTATTATGAAAAAAATGAATTAGCGTGCTGATGGGTTCTGACTGCCTCTGTTGTGGTATTAGTAGAGGGATGTGTAAGCACAGTAGGCTTGGGGGTGGTGGGCAAAGAATAAAGCAGATTCCTACTGAGCTCTTTCTCTTGTGTTTATTCAGACTTCTCACAGCTCACCTGTTGAGCCTGGTGCACTTCCATCATCTGATATGGCTCCTCAGTTGGAGGAATCCCACTGAGGGATCCCAGCTGTGGAATCCCACTTATAAGTTTCTGTGCACCTTTAGTTTATCTCCTGGTTTAAAGCCAGTGAGTCATGATTATCTGAATAATAATGGATCAGCCTTGGGTAACAGAATAACCAGTGGTAAGATAAAAGCAACAGTCTTCTCTATTACTAGATCTCAACGAGATACTTATTGTTTTCTGTCCTATTACAGAAGTTGTCCTGGTCCTCAGGCAGCTGTAGGAATAGAGAGTGTTACAGTTCTGAAGGGCTTATATGCCTCCACCCTGGTCTTTCATCCTGTGCTGATTGAAGGATCTCTGCAAGACCAGGTAATCTGGCCTTGTTTGTTGTATGTATCATACACATGGCATTTTGTGTATGTGTGTATATCCAGACATATGCACGTGCTGTGTATACTGTATATTGTATCAGATCAATAAAATAACACAGAAAATACATCTAGAATATCTCTGGTTTATTCTTCAATGTGTATTTAAAAGTCTTTTACATCATATGAATTCAAACTGGACTATAGGAAAGTGTCTAATTGGTGCCTGAGAATCTGCTACAAGTTGGATGTCTACAGAGGTATATATTGTACAGATCATAAAAGGTGGAGGAGAAGCATACAGTGTGGTTAGGCTGAGTAATTTCATGGGATCAGTATCATGTGTGCAGTGGCTGCATTTCCTCAGGCATGCATGTCAAGATTTGCAGCCTGTGGGTTTGTAGCCTGTCATTGAAGAAGATCCTATTTCTGAGGCTACACCTACTGTGCATAGGCTACTCTGACACTCTACACCTTGCAAATGCAACAGGATCCATACTGCTATCCAAGAGAGCTTCTTTTAAAGCTGACATTTGTTCTTTGTGCTTCCATTATGCTGTCTACAGCCTGTTTGGTTTTGACTTACATGTCTTAAGTTGTAAAGTAATTTCTAAAAGAATGATTGGTGTTCTTTGAGTGCTCAGTTTTGTGCAGTTATAGTTTCAGGAGGCACACAGAACTACCTTTTCTATAAAGTCAACAATTTAACTAATCTGATTTTAGTTTCAGATGGTCATGAGCAAGTGGCAGCTATTGCTCTGAGGATCAATGAGTACATGCTATCCTGATAGGGGTCATCTTTTCAACACATGATCAGTGGAAGAATAAAGGCTTTGCACAGCAAAACTGTGTTTCATCCTTCACACTGACAGATATTAAGCCAGTAGCTAGGACTTTGTTTTGTGTATAGTTTAGGCTAATGAATTAGTAACTTTTTCTTCACTAATACTACTGTTGCAAGTGTTCTAAAGCTATTAGCATTAGAAAGCATCCGTTATCACATTTAGGACAATATTTGGACCTTACCATGCTAATGTGTGCCCACTTCCTAGAGTTCTTGAAAAGTGAGAAAACTGTTTCTGTTTGTGCACTTTTTTTGCTCCTTCAAATGCAGCTGTATTTCAATGCCTTTCCAGGAAGATTAGGTATGGCTTGCATCCTATTTACCAAGTGCATGATATAACCATTGCATCCTTTTTGCTTCTATTAAGTGTTACAGCAAACTTTTCCTTGTCTCTTATGTATTGTTCATTTTGTATCAAATGGGAAACAACACTTAGCTGATATATTGTTGTTGTATATAGTTAAGCTAAAAAATATTACCATTGAAACAAGTGTCTACAATAAATCATGTACAGTTCCTTTAACCTTACTCTTTTTTTCTCCCCTAAGTAAACAGTATAACTTCTATAATTTACCATGAGTTTAATATTAGCTTGCCTTGAAGAGGCTGTGTTACTTTGCAATTCTGCACACCAGTTTTAGCACTTTGGAGAAGGTACAGAACTTGTTAGTGGAAAATCATATTAAGCTCAAAAAGCATAAGCTATAAAATAAAAGACAGTTGTCTCTTCTGGAATTTTGGCTGCCTGCCTCCTGGATTTGCTTGTTGGCAGCCTTGAAAACACTGGTGTAAATCACTACCAAATGGATATAAAAATTCCATCTACCGGTAGTAATCATTATATTGATGTTCAAGCAGATTTCTGTGCAAAGAGGAAAAACCTTCGTATTTTTAGAGAACCCATCATTTACAGATTATAAAAATATATACCTATTCTTCTAAAATAATACTAAAACCTCTAGTCACCTATACAAGTCCATATTTAGTTTGTATTTTGTCTTCAGCTGAAGACAGGAATTGTTCCTAGAGCAGTTTTAGATAAAAATAGTTTAGATAAAATTGAACCCTTGTTGCTAAGTCTATTGTGCTGATGATCCCTACTATTATTTACATTTGGTTCCCATCCATTCTCTGTGCTGTATGTCACTTGTTTTCTAAAACTGACATGTAGCTTCATGAAGAACTGTATTGGAGTGTTCTCTTTGGGAGACCTATAAACTATGAAAATGCTACCCTGACAAAAATACATTACTAGAGTATCAGCTAGCGCCAGACTGACAGTCGTGCCCATATGGCTTTATATTTCTAGAACTCATGGAGTCAAAGACCAATTGGCAATCGAGTTAGCCATCACAGGCATGTGGGGCCATTGGAATTAGACTCCCTCCCAATGGTTCTCCCTACATTCTTCCTTGAAAACTGACCTCTGGGGATGAAGGACACAGAGGAATTGAATCCTTGCAGGAAGAGAACTGCTCTGGTTGGCTGAGAATAAAGAGTGGTGTTCCCTAAAATCCTGTAAAAACACTAATTGGAATGGGAGACAGTTGCAACTTTGTAATTGAATATACTGTGGTGGGAGGTTTATATTTAGAATTTGGCTTACTTGGCAAGTGGAATAGCTTTGCAGCTTCTTGCTCTTAGTATCTGACACAACAAAACCAACTCACTAAGGCAGTATGTGGCTTAGTTCCCTATAGATGATCCGGTTGGAATAACTAAAGTGTTGCTGCATCAAATTGAGTATACTTTTGGGTGTCGCATAGTTGCTAGCTCTGTTAGCCATTTGCTAGCACATATAGAAAGTTTAATGTATATTCAGTGTGTATATGGCTTTGGATGTTCGTATCTCATTCAAAAGAGCTGCAGTCTGACATTGAAATCCTCTTGGTGGCTTTGAAAATTCCTTCATAAATATATACAACATTTTGAAAACATTGGAAAAAAATGTGGATGCCTAAGCAAAAGAAAAGGGGCCTTATAGAAGGGAAGAATGAAGATGTAAAACTTTCTGGTTTAGACTTGCACTTTACATTGCTGCTAGGGCTATTCCTCATAAAACATCAGATGCTTTTCTTCTAAAATGTGTAAAAAATAATAGAGGAGCAGCTGTAAGGAATAGTGAGAGGCAGTAGGGAAGGCTAGAATTGAAAAATGATTCTGTTTCGTGACACGTGTGAGTTACATGAGCAGTGTAGAAAATACCAAATCCTTTAGCTGATGATAGTCACAAAAATTACAATTGCTGCCTTGTTACTGCATAAATGTTTGACTGACCCAAACAAGTCCTGTACTGGATGAAGAGTTAAATGCCAAACCACATGCTTGAAAATGCAGATGTCATAGTAAAGGACTGAAGGGATCCATCATGGTATTCAAAACATAAGTTGAAAATCTCATTCCAATTAGAAAACTCAGATTTCTTGACTATCATGGTTAAAAGAAAGGATTTTCTCACTACAAAGTACACTTAAAACTGTTAGTCATGTCTATGTCACCTTATCCTCTTGAAAATAATCTTATATTTGACACCTCTTTTGAGGCTTAGAGTATTTAACACAACCCTGGTCACCTTTCCTAAAACTGCATGCTAATTCCCTACAAAAAGCTCTCAGAAGTCTCAGGAAATTGAAATCAAGCTGTTGATTGTGAGAGCTGGTCAACTGACAGTAGCTGTTGTACAAAGGTGACATTTCAGAATGAATGGGGCTAGATGATGCCCATTCACTAGCTTAACCTGGAAGAATACCTTGCTGTTACCTATATATGCCTACAGCATTTTGTTGGAAACCTTCAAATGGGAAATTCAAAAGACTTTCTAAAATGTTGTTACTGGTGCCATAACCAGAAGAAATGAGTGGCAAGTCAGACTTGTTTGCATTGACCTCTGAAAGTCCTGTCTCAAGCCCCATGGAGCTGGGTGTAGACTTATTTGCAGCATCTCCCTTTTAACAAATGGTAGTTCTTTGAATTTCAAAGGGTTTGAAAATAATGGATTCTCATCCAACACCCCAAGACTTTCTTTCACTGATTTCAGTGGGACTTGAACAAAAAATGCACCTGGAAGAAATGGACAACATATGTGTGTCCCTGGTACTCCCACAAGAATCCCTGGCACTAGAGACCT